GTGTGTGTGCGTGTGTATTGGCTCTCTCTCTCTCTCTCTGTGTGTGTGTGGGTTTAGTGGAAGTGGTTGGAGTCTGCAGTACAGCTACATGCCCCACGGCCTTCCCACAAAGGCCGTCTGCTTCGCACAGTAAGGGGATGCTATGCGCGCCTGTTGGTCGACTGGCCTGTGTGTGTGTGTGTGTGTGTAGACGTGGGCTGCTGGTCTCTGCTGGCGCCGATTACTCCCTCATGGTAGTCAAGCAACATGCGCAAATGTGCGGGCGAGAGAGTAACGACATGCGTGTGTGTGTGTGTGTCTGTGTGTCGCTGTGCCAGCACCAGGTTGCCGACTCGACTAGAAAACGTCCGTGTGCAGGTCGCGGCTGCCGTACGTGTGTGTTCTGGATGCTTCTATTGATGATCGTGGCTGTCGTGGTGGCTCAGGTGGTCAACGTGGGGCTGCTGCCCGACAGTGACAGCCATGTGTCTGACACTAGCAGAGCAGCAGAAAGTTCTGTCCACACAGCTGCCCCAGATCAGACCGTGCGGGACGAACTCTGAGTGTGGATGGGGGGAGGAAGGCTTGCAAAGGCAGAGAGGGGAGTGAGGTGGGTGTGGGTGTGGTGGCTGGGGGGAAATAAACACGGGTGTGAGTGAAATATGGAGAAAAGACATGCAGTGTCTGTCAGCCATGCCGCACTCACCCACACATTTGTACAAGTGATCCGACCACCGTCAAGCCAGCTGTACACACACACACACTCGCTCCCTCGCTCCCTCCCTCTCCACCTCACTTATGCATCATCCATCTGAACCTTTCTACGGGTCGTCGCGTGGCCTTCGCCACTGTTGTTGAACCCCTTGCTCAGTAGCAAGCATGGCAAACCAGACAATCAACAATGGCACCGACCCCGCAACGACACGTCTGCCTGTCTGTCGATGAAGGATCGATCACAGAGAGCCGCATCCGCACTCCATCCACACCACACACACACTCGACCACCACCACAAGCATCCATCCATCCATCCACTGCCCTCTGTCTGCATCGTGTGGTTGTCGACTTGGCGCCACACACGTGCCGGTAAGATAGCTTTCGTCCCATCTCACCAGGGCGTCTGTCTCGCCAGTCTAAAGCCCAGCGATGCAGAAGCGGAAGAGGGCAGAGAGAGAGAGAGAGAGAGAGGGAGAGACAGGAAGGTACGCAGGGGTTGCCTTGGTCGATTGCTTCAGCCCTCCACCCCCTCGCCATACATGAATTCCTCCTACATGAATTCCTCCTCATTGAACTGCTCACCATCTGCGTGACACACACACACACACACACACACACACATCTCCCCATATCCGTGGGTGGTCAGTGTGCGTGTCTGTGTTCGCCATTCACTCACCATCCTCCTGTCCATCACCAGCAGAAGCAGAAGCACCAGCAGCGGCAGCAGCAGCGGCAGGAGCAGCAGCGGCAGCAGCGGCAGCAGCGGCGGGCTGTGCCTCCGGTGCCTCGCGTGTCGGCGCACCCAGTTGAGGAACCACCTCGTCCATGTCGCCGTCGCCCGATGCAGACATGTTCTCACCACCGCCGCCGCCGCCGTCGGGAGATGCCAGCTTGGCCTCCTTGGCTGCACGCGCCTCGGCGGCATGGGCGGCCTTCCGCTTGCCCTGGTTCTCCTGCTGAACTGAATGGACGGATTGATCAAAGGAGGGATGACACAAACAGCAGGGGTGTCATGGGTAGATATGTGTGTGTAGAGGGTGGAGGGTGGAGGGGGCGGATGGGATGTCTTACTTTCGTTGTGTAGTTGCTCGAGTTCGGGGACGAACTCTTCAAAGTCGAGATCCTTAAGCGCCTCGAAAATGTCCTCCTCACGGATCGTCGTCCTGCATCACATCCACGGATCGATGGACCACACACAGACACAGACACACACAGACATATAGAACCATATATATGGTGACACCGAGACAGACACGAACAAATCGCATTCACTCACGCACACAGCCACATGTGTCACCCAGATCTCTCATCTGTCCCCCTGGCTGTCCAGATCCCTCACTGACCGTTTCCTGCTCTTGGCCACCTCGTTGCTGGCTGCGGTGAGGTAGAGAATGAACACCGCGGCGCTCCTGTTGAACGCCTGCAGCGCCTCCTTGGACACCTTGACGCTACCGTCCAACATGCTCTTCACCACTCGCTGAACAAACACATGCATGTGAATGACACACAGGTAAAGTACCCATGACAAACGCATCTTGGTGCGCTCTACCTGCACATTCGCCGCCGGTAGGTCCAGCGGGTGCATGGAAGCGGCCGCAGCCCTCTTCGCACCTCCTCCACCCTCCTCGGCTGCCGCTGCTGCAGCAGCTGCTGGCTGAGCTGGTGCAGGAGCCTCATCTACAGCTGCACCCTCAATCACAGGCGGCTCAATGCCGCTCCCTGACGCCATTCTCTGCCCCTTCAATTGCAAGCTCAAAGATGAAGCCGAAAAGCTCGCTTTCCCAGGAAAAGCCGCTTTGCCTGTTGGCGCTGGTTGGCCGCCTCAGCTTGAGTTTTGCCACTCATTTTTGTAGCTGACGCGTCCCGGACTACCCTGGTTGGTTTGGCGGTTGGCAGTGGCAGTAAGTGTTTGTGGCGAGTGAGGATGTATGGTCAGCACGGAGGGCACAACGGCCCGTCACGGGCGCAGCCGTCCCAGGTGAGTGCAGTGCGCAGGAACAGACAGACAGAGAGGGCGGGGAGGGAGGGCTTAAGTATATGATCTCTCTCTGTGTGGCTGGGTGATGGACATGAGTGACACAGCCTGGATGAGAGCGTGGTGTGTGGGAGACGGCGTGTGTGGTGTCGTGTGGTGTGTGTCGGTTGCATGTCATGTGTCACTCAGGGCAACTGGACGAAGGACTGGAACTTCTACGTAGCCTTCAACAAGGAGAACGAGCTCACCGTCTACGTGAGTGGGAGTGGATGCCTGTCCATCTGTCCATCTGTCTGTCTCTGCGTGTGTGTGTGTGTGTGGTGTGATCGATCAGCTGGACCCCGAAACCAACAAGAGGGAGGGACATGACCACTTCACCATGGGTGGGCTGAGCCAACCACAGGAATGTGATGTGTGTGATGTGTGTGATGCATGGCATGCAGACGACAATGCGTGTGTGGAGTTCTGCACGTGGCTCAGAATGAACCTGCCCCAAGTGCGGCCAAAGGGAGGTCAGTCGACTCACTCGGGGCACTAGGGCACTGGTGTCAATGCCGATCGACGCATGGATGGATGGATGGATCGATGTACCTGCGTGTGTGTGTGTCTACGTGCGTGCAGGTGCGCCGCTGACAGCGGTGGTCAACATGGCCAACAACAGGATTGGCGACAGGGGAGTCAAGGCGCTGACAGTAAGCACACACACACATGTTTGTCTGTGGAGGTGTGCATTTCCACACCACTCGCCACATACACATCTGTCTGCGTGTGTGCGTGCGTGCGTGTGTGTGTAGGAGTGCTTCCTGGCCACCGACGTGCAGCCGCGCATTCTGAAGCTGTACAAGAACCAAATCGCTGGGGACGGTGCGCAGACACACACATGGACCATACCGGTTTGTTGACATGTGTGTGTGGGGGTGTGTGTGGGGGGGTGTAGGTATGAAGGCGTTGGCTCAGATGGTGCACGACCTCAAGGGGCCCATCAGCGAAATACACCTCTCGCACAACAAAATCGACGGTGGGTACACACATGGACATACACCCTTGCCATGCCATCCCATCACACATGTCGCCCGGTGTGGCGTGTGCGCAGAGATGGGTGCGACTGCGCTTGTGGCGGCCATCGCCAACCACCCCAAGAAGGTCTACCCCCGGCGCATGCCCAACGGCAAGTACTGCCCCGTCTGGCTGCGACTCGAGTACAACCTCATCAGCAACCACGACAAACGTACACACACACACAAGGAATGCAACAAACCGAAGACAACACAAGAGCTCTCGCGTCATTTCTGGTGTGGTGTGGTGTTGTGTGTGGTGGGTCGGGGGGTGTGCAGTGCTCCGTTTCGTGCAGCAGAAGGGCATCAGCATCTGCACCGAGACCAAGCGAGCCTTCTGCGGCCCCACCTTCTGCAAAGTGGCCGAAAGTGGCAAAGATTGTACGCACACACCACACACCACACGACAACACACACACACCAATGGCCCATATGTGTGTGTGTGTGTTTCTTGTCTGTCTTGTCTTGTCTTGTCCCAGGTCCGCTGCTGCACCTGTATGCCCTCAACCACCAGGGGGAGGGTCGTGCCCCCAACGGCTCCATGGCCCTCACCAACGGCAGCTACCCCGCACCAGGACGCGCTACACAACACACCACGCCCCGTGGCCCTCCGCCACACCACCACCAGCAGCAGCCGCCCTCCACCCACAGGCCCGCACTACCCCCGCCGCAGCGACCACTGGGTGGTGGTCCCGCCACGAGGCCCAACATGGCGCCCAACGTCGGCGGCAAGACGCCCCCCGGTGGCCAGATGCCGCCAGCACGGGGACCAGCTGCACAACAGGTGAGCGAGCGAGTTGAGAGAAGGGGGAATGCATTGATTGGTGTGCCTGCTCACTGTGCCTCTCCTTCCCTCTCTCTCTCTCTCTCTGTGTGTGTGTGTGTGTGTGTAGTCTGTGTGGCAGCCGCGCCCCACACCAGCAGCAACAGCAGCCGCAGCCGCAGTAGCAGCGGCAGCACCGGTGCCCGTGCCGGCCCCAGCAGCTCCGGCCGCCCCATCAGCCCGGCCGGCAGCCTCGCCGCCCGAGGCCAAGAACCCACCACCGACCACCACCACCACCACCACCACTACACACACCACGAGCGCCACCACCAGCAAGAAGGACACCAACAGGAAGCCCCCCTCCGACGATGGCTTCGGCAACTTCGGCGACGATGATGACGACGGCGAGGAGGACTGGGCCACCCCCCCGCCGCCCACCAAACCCCCTCAGAAGCAGCAACAGCAGCAGCAGCAGCAGGGAGGGGGTGCGTTCAGTGGGGGCAGCACGGCGGCCAGCGCGTCGGCGAGTGCGTCGGCCAGTGGTGGTGGTGGTGTTGGTGTTGGTGAGGGTCCTCTGCCGTGGGTGGATGTGGACCAGGGGGGTATGAGCGTCAGTGAGATCAAGCAGGCTTACCGGGACCTGCACCGCGCGTAAGGCTGGGAAGGAGGGAGGGGAGCAGACAGGCAGAGAGAAGGGGGACGTGGTGTATGTAACGTGTTGTGTTGGATTCTCCTCTGTGTGTGTGTGTGTGTGTGTGGTGCAGTGCTACGCAGGAGGTGGACCGGCTGACGAGAGAGCTGCGGGCGGCCAAGGGCGGCCGACCCTGACCACAGACATACGCGATGAGTGAAGCGGAGCACGCCACTGGCTTGG